AAACCTGCAGGCAAAAAAAAAAAAAAAAAAAAAAGCCAGGATTGATGTTTGTTCTGCAGGAGCTTCCCTCACTCATACCGTTACATAACACCAACACTGCTGGCAGGATGAAGAAAATCAATACAAGTCAAAGCTGCAAAAGTTTAACAAGTTTAATTTTAGCAGGTTGTCCTTTATGTCGGTTATTTTATTGAACATATGTGTTCACAAGGGCTGATTTGAATCATTTTTAATCAGCTCTTTCTCATTGCCTGACGGGTGACACAGTGTTTGGTTGCAGTCGTCCACTGATCCGTACACAGGTACAAGCTCGGCTTCTTACGCTTCTCTCGGTCTCTCTCTCGCTCTCTCTCTCTTTCTCTCCAAATCTCACAGAGCCTCACCTCATTTCTGGAGAGTAGAGCTTCGTTATTAGAAGCAGAGAAAGACAGCAAGTTTGCTTCTGTTATTGTGTTATATCAGGTAGATGTAAAAAATCTGCTTTGTGTAGAACGAAACGTTTTTGCTAGACAAACATTTTTTGCAACAAAGATTTTAGTTTCATTATGATGTGGAGTACATTTACATTGATGGCATTTGGCAGATGCCCTTATCCACTGCAACATGCCGACGTGTTTTGATGTCTGCATCAATAAACACATCCTCGTGTTGGTTCACTAGGTCAGGGACTACGAGTACCACCAGTCTGAAACCACGGATGGGGAGTACAGTATGAAAAATACACAAGACTGACATTTTTTTATACCAAGTGCTCATTTAAGAACTTCATGGAGAGGTAGATCTTTAGTCGTCGTTTGAAGACTGCCAGCGGACAGCCAGGGGAAGGTCATTCCACCACCTAGCCGCCAGAACAGAGAAGAGCCTTGATGCATGCCTTCCTTGTACGCTGAGAGATGGTGGGAGCAGTCGAGCGGTGCTGGAGGATCGGAAAGGCTTTGTCGTCAAGCATAAGCGTTTTAGATCTGATGCAGGCCGCTGCAGGAAGCCAGTGGTGGGATCACAGCAATGGGATAGTGTGGGAGAAGATCTGTTGCAGTGGCCAGATTGTGTGCAGAGGCAGACCTGCTGGGAACGGGTTGCAGTAGTCCAGTCTTGAAATGTCAAGGAACTGAACAAGCACCTGTGTGGTCTTTGTGGATAGATATGGCCTCCTGATTCTCCGGATTGTTTAAAGCATTGTTTAAACTGCATGACCGAGGCAGTTTTGCGATGTGTGGTGAGAAGGACAGTTGGTTGTCCATGGTTGCCCCAAGGCCGTGTGCAGTGACAGATGGTGAGGTGGTGAGAGGTGTCCAGGGAGATCTCAGAATCTTCATATGGGGATGCATCTCCAGACTGGGATTTAGTTTCAGCTGATGAGCTGCCATCCATGACGAGACGTCTGCCAGACATGCTGAGATCCGAGCAGAGCCATGAGTGTCTGAGGGAGGAAAGGAGAGGATGAGTTGAGTGTCATCGACATAGCAGTGGTATGAAAACCCATGTGAGGATGTGACCACACTGAGAGAGCAGGTATAGAGGGAGAACTGCAAGAGACCCTTGTGTGACACCAGTGTTGAGTCGGCATGGAGCAGATGTGGATTCCCTCCGGGTCACATGATATGACCATCCCTGCAGGTAAGAAGCCAAACATTTCCATGCCATGTCACGAATTCCAAGACTCATGAGGATGAACAAGAGAGAAAAGAGAGTGTTGTGGGTGACTGTATCGAAAGCTGATCTGGCAGCAGGAAGCTCCTCCATGATGGCCACTAGAGCAGGTTCTGGTGATTGTGATGCTTTGAAGCCAGACTGGTAGGATCTTGGAGGTTGTTCTGGGTTCTGGGGGAGATAGAGAGACCATTGATTGTAGACAGAGTGTTCAAGGACTTTCGAAAGAAAAGAGTATTTGGAATAAGCGAATTCATTATAAAGAACTGTTTTTACTTTACAGTTATAAATACATTTCTGTGAAATTACACTAAAATTCCAGTTTATTAGATACGTGGATCTGGTGTAAACTTCTCAAACCCGATTCCGTCATCATTATCAGTAACAGAAATCCAACAAGTTTTCTATTAAATAAAGAATGATGCATTCTATTTTTTAATCTGTTTATAGCTACATTTAATGAACCAAGTGAGTTCCTGTTCTCTCTTACGTTATAGCAGCTGTAAACAGTCGTTCCCTCACCAGCCGCTCTCTTCTTTCTATCTCCTGAAGTTGAAGCGTAAACTCCTCTGTCCGAAGATGTCGGAAAACTTAAAAGTTACAGCTTTACCTCTGACTGTTACGAAGCGCTGACACTGGAGACTCCTTCCATACATGTGAGATAAACATGTTTAAACGTTTATTTCTAGAATGAAGCTGATCTGTCAAGACAGAATAATAAAAACTCGTTAAATATGCCTTCATTCAGATACAGTTCGCTCAGCCGCTAAGACGCCATGAGAGAATTCTTTTCTTAATGTAGGATTTCTTTTACAGATCTGTCCATTTGGATCATTTCTAATTTATGGATTCGTCCGTAGTGAATAAGGACGGAGTGAAGACGCTGTAGTGCGTGTAATAAGTGAGAAAATAAAAGCAGCTATAAGATATTGGGACGCCGCCTCATGAGAGAAACCGCTGTTAAACAGCCTCGAGGAATACAAGACCTTTTCGGACATGATCCAATTTACACAAACACAAACGATGCTCTTTTAAAAAAAATAATAAAGTAAATACTCCATAAGGGAAATCATTCTGCACTCTTCAGCTCAACAGACGTGTAAAAGCACTCTCTCTCTCTCTTTTCTCTTTCTTTCTCACTCATTCTCTCTCTCTCTCTCTGTCTCTCTTTCTGTCTTTTTTCTCTCAGGAGTGTGTAAAATGTTCCCCTCTGCCAGCTCCTCTCGTTATAAATCGGCAGCGTGGCTGTGCTCCAGTTACTCGTGTTAATTCTCACTCACTCGTTTGTTGCGTGTTCTTGATTAGAGACGGAACCCAGAGGGGTTTTCCCGCATGGATCCGGTTCCCTCGGGCTGGGACAGCTGTGTGTGTTCTCACACACCATCTGCACGAAAAGTGGGGGTTCAGAACATTCACTCCACCCACGCAAACACACACACACCCACTCAAACACACACACCCGCACGAGCACACACACTCAAACATGCACATACACATACATGCGCACACACACCCATGCAAACACCCACTCAAACACGCGCACACACACCCGCACGAGCACACACACTCACGTGAGCACACACACACACACACACACAAAAACGTACGCAGTTTCTACCAATTTTGTCTTTCTTTCTTTCCTCCTTTTCTTTCTCTTTTTCTTTATTCCCACTTTCTCCCATTTGTTGTTTCTTTCTTTCCTCCTCTATACCTTCCATACTCTTTCTTTCTTTCTTTCATTTTTGTATTTCTCCTTTTTTTCCTTTTATCTGATCTCACACACAAAAAAGTACGTAATTTCTATCAATTTTTGTCTTTTACTTCAGCCTCAATAGCATCCGGAAACATCAGTTTTCTTTCTTTCCTCATTTTCTTTCCCCCTCTACACCTTTCTTACTCTCTTTCTTTTTCCTTTTCTTTCTTCTTCTACACTCTTCTTTCTTTTTGTTTTTCATCTTTGTACTTCTCAGTCTTCTTGTACTTCTTTTTTCATGCTGAGTGCAAGTCAGGACCAGGTTTTCTGTTCTATCTGTAAACACGCCTTAAAACACCCAGAAGTGACGTGACGTGACGTGACGTGTAGCGTAGCCTCGGAATTTGTGCTCTGCATTTAACCCATCCAAGTGCACACACACACACCGTGAACACACACCCAGAGCAGTGGGCAGTCTTTTTAGCTGCGGCGCCCGGGGAGCAGTTGGGGGTTCGGTGCCTTTCTCAAGGGTCTCACCTCCCTCATGGTATTGAGGGAGGAAGAGAGCGCTGGTCATTCACTCCCCCACCTACAATCCCTGCCGGACCCGAGACTCGAACCCACCACCTTCAGGTTCACCTTCAGTCCGACTCCCTGACCATTAGGCCACTTCCGCCCCCGAACTCCGGCCACTTCCTGGATTCCACAGTACTTCCTGCTAAGGTTTCCTGTAGCTCTGCTGCTCTCTCTACACTCCAGAGCTGGCCTTTTTAGCACTAAAAATTCCTTCATGAATTATTCATTGGACAAAACCAGAACCGCAGTGTTTTATTCAAAAAGAAAAAACCCTTGATGTGGTGTAAATCCTGAAGCGAAGTGCTTGCTCTGAGCCAGCGCCTGCCACTAATGTATATTTAATGTGTGTGTGTGTGTGTGTGTGTGTGTGTGTGTGTGTGTGTGTATTACATGCAGCAGCAGCACCACTCTGGGTTATGAAGTTTCATCATGAGCCCACGTCTTTCCTCTCTCTCGGCGCTGAGTGTGTGTGAAAACAACAACAAGCAACCAATAACGGCGTTTCACATTATCTTAATGTCTGTACCACATTAAAGACAACACAAATAACAGCAGTCAGTGTGTAGAGCAGCGGGAGAGAGTGTGTGATGAAAACAACACACTGAAACAATGCAGTAAAGTATAACAACACATTGAGCTGAATCAACACCACACTGAACCGAATCAACAACACACTGAACCGAATCAACAACACACTGAACCGAATCAAAAACACACTGAACTGAATCAACACCACACTGAACTGAACCGAATCAACAAATTGAACTGAACCGAATCAACACACTGAACTGAACTGAATCAACACACTGAACTGAACCAAATCAACAACACACTGAACTGAATCAACAACACACTGAACCGAATCAACAAATTGAACTGAACTGAATCAACACACTGAACTGAACCAAATCAACAACACACTGAACTGAATCAACAACACACTGAACTGAATCAACAAATTGAACTGAACCGAATCAACACACTGAACTGAATCAACACACTGAACCGAATCAACAGCACACTGAACCGAATCAACACACTGAACCGAATCAAAAACACACAACTGAATCAAAACACAGTGAACTGAATCAACACACTGAACCGAATCAACACACTGAACTGAATCAACACACTGAACCGAATCAACAGCACACTGAACTGAATCAACACACTGAACCGAATCAAAAACACACAACTGAATCAAAACACAGTGAACTGAATCAACACACTGAACTGAATCAACAACACACTGAACTGAATCAACACACTGAACTGAATCAACAGCACACTGAACTGAATCAACAACACACTGAACTGAATCAACAAATTGAACTGAACCGAATCAACAGAACACTGAACCGAATCAAAAACACACAATTGAACCAAAAACACACTGAACTTTATCAACACACTGAACTGAATCGACAACACTTCTTTCTTTCTTTCTAGAATACTTGTAAGACACTGTATACAGGAAATCTGATTCAGTTGGGATAGTAACAGCAATCAGCTAGGTTGTTCCATGATCTAGACAAATCCGACATAGAAACAGAAGATAAATCATCAAGTGTGTGTTTTGGTGTTTTTGGTCTAATCAGTGCAAACATCAGCTTCCAGTTTATTAGTTCTTAACTATCCGATGATAGCTTTAACACTTCTCAGATTTGATGTTCAGGAAGAGAGATGGTGAAAGCAGGTCTGCGTGTTTTTATAATCCTACTTACTGACTGTGCATTTTAAAGACTAATAATGCCGATGGTAGTTGCCGGGGCGATAATGATTGACAGGCAGAGACACTAAAGACAAATCCTGCGTCCAAGTGGAGAGGGATTTTGACAGAGTGAGACATGCAGCTGAATTTCCATAAAGTACTGATACATTCAGTACAGAGTGTATGAAAAGAGTGTGTGGGTGAACTCATGTAACAGAACCCACAGTGTTTGAAGATGGAGAGTTGCATCAGATTGTTGCAGGATTGTTGAGTTGAGGGATGAAGTTGTGCGAGTGTTGCAGCAGAGCAAGAGTTCAGTGAGCGTCACTCAGCGGTGAGAGAGAAAACTCCATTATTACTGCGTTTGCAATACAAGCAACACACTAATTATGTACATATTCTTTACATTGATTATTGTTTTGCACACTTTTCTGAGATGAGCACAGCCCAAAGTGCTTAACATTCAGTCTGGAAAAACATACAGAGCATTAAATTCCAGACGTGTACAGACTCATAACATACAGACTCATAACGTACAGACTCGTAACATAGAGACCCCTAACACACAGTCTTGAAAAACATACAGAACTGTAAAGTACAACTTGTACAGACCCATAACACAGAGACTCGTAACCTACAGACATTGTAATTTACAGACCTGTAACTTACAGACTCGTAATGTAAAGATTCATAACATACAGACTCGTAAAGTACAAATTTGTACCATACAGACTCATAACGTACAGGCTTATTCAGACTCGTAACGTACAGACTCGTAACGTACAGACTCATAACATACAGACTCGTACAGACTCGTAACGTACAGACTCATAATGTACAGACTCGTACAGACTCGTAACGTACAGACTCATAACATACAGACTCATAACGTACAGACTTATTCAGACTCGTAACGTACAGACTCGTAACGTACAGACTCGTACAGACTCATAACGTACAGACTCGTACAGACTCGTAACATACAGACTCGTACTGTACAGAATCGTACAGACTCGTACAGACTCGTAACGTACAGACTCATAATGTACAGACTCGTACAGACTCATAACGTACAGACTCATAATGTACAGACTCATAATGTACAGACTCGTAACGTACAGACTCGTACAGACTCATAACGTACAGACTCATAATGTACAGACTCATAATGTACAGACTCGTAACGTACAGACTCGTAACGTACAGACTCATAACGTACAGACTCGTAACGTACAGACTCATACAGACTCGTAATGTACAGACTCGTAACATACAGACTCATAACGTACAGACTCGTACAGACTCATAATGTACAGACTCATAACGTACAGACTCATAACGTA